TTTTTCTTTAGAACGTTGGAAATGTTAGCCATAGAAATGAAAAGAAAAAAAAGTTAAGGGGTTAAGAAAAGTCAAAGTGGAAACAAAAATATTGCTTTTAGTAGATGATAAGATGGCTTATTTAAAGAATATTAAAGATTCATTTTAATAATTTAAACAATTAATAACCAGTAATTTTATTAGCTGCAATTGTTAATAACCTAGAATATAAAATAAACCAACAAAGATCATCAGATTTCTGTACAATATAAATAAACTACAGCAAGAAGAGAAGAAATTCTGCTAAAAAATATCCTACAGAATGTGTAAAATATTTCAGAGTCCACCTGTGAAGACATATAGAGTAACTCTATGAGTATAACTGCAAGATGTTCTTTATAGAAATAATACTATTAATTCTTCACCATTAGGCCATTTTTATAAAATGATAATATAAATGAAATTAATTTACTTATACCAAATTGCCAAAGGCTTAATTATATATTTACATATATGTATATTACATATACGTATATACATACTTACACACATAATCAAATAGAGATGAGGGAAAACAAAAAGTCAAGATCTGCAAGAAAATAATTTGTCTTAAAGACTGATAAGGAAGGAGGCATTGTAGTATCATGTCTCAAACTATTCTCTGACATAATAATCCTAAAAATAATTTGGTACTAGCTAAACATATAAAGTTAAACAGGGGAGCAGATTACAAAAACAAGATTCAGAAGCAAAATGGAGGATTGTAGAGATGGATAAAACAAAGCTTCCAGATACCAGGATAAGGACAACAATTAGCATTTGACAACCATTACTGAAAAATATTGGAAAACAGTCTGTCAGAAATTATTATGCTTATTACCATAAGTAAATCAGAGGAATGTGAAATAGTTTACATGTCAGACCTATGGATAAAGGAAGAATTTAGGACCAAACATGATATAGCACCACCAAATGTAAAATGGATAATTTTGAATATATTAAGTTAAAAAGGTTTTGCACAAATAAAACTAATGCAACCAAAATTAGAAGGAAAGTAGAAAACTGGGTTTTTTTTTTTTGACAGCAGGTATCTCTGATAAAGGCCTCATCTGTAAAATGTATAAAGAATTGAGTCAAATTCAGAACACAAACATATATGTAATAGACATGTGTGTACATGTGCATATGTGTGTGTGCCTATACATATACACATATATAAAACCATTGCAGCTAAAAATCAAAAGGGAAACAGCCGACTGGGTATAAAATCTTTGCAGTTAACTTTTCTTGCTCTAAGAGAAAGGCTTGAATTAATGAATATGTGTGGTGTGGGTATGGTTATATGCACACAGACATATACATACATATATTTGTTGTTGTTGAGTCAGTCAGTCATGTCCAATGTTTTGTGACCCCATGACCAATACTGTCCTTGAGGTTTTCTTGGCAAAGATACTAGAGTGGTTTGCCTTTTCCTTCTCCATTAGATTAAGGCAAACAGATGTTAAATGACTTGCCCAGGGGTCATATTGTTAGCCAAATTTGAACTCATGTCTTCCTGACTCTAGGCCTAGTGCTCCATCTGTTGAGCCACCTAGTTGCCTTCTAAGCAAAAAGAGATTAAGTGACTTTCTGAAAGTCACACAACTAATACATGCCTGAGGCCAGATTTGAATTCAAATCTAACTGACTACTGGCCCATCACTCTATGCATTGAACCATCTAGCTGTCCTTCATACATACACACTCACATATGCACACACACACAAATGCTCTCACACTCACACCCATTCATTCATTTAGAGAGAGAGACAGACAGAGAGACAGAGACAGAGAAAGAGAGAGAGAATTGAAGAACAAAGTTCATTCTTCAATAGGTATCAAAGTGTATAAACAAGTAGTTCTCAAAATAAAGCAAGTTATCGAGAACCAAGTGGAAAAATGCATCAAATAACTAAAAACAATGGGAAAGCAAATTAAAGAAAAACCTCCAAGGTGCCATCCCACACTCATCAGACTGTCATATATGACCCAGATATGGAAAAATGACATTTGTTGGAGAGTATGTAGGAGGAGAGGAATAATAGTGTGCTCTTTGTAAAGCTGAGAATTGGTCTCACCATTCTGGAAATTAATTTGGAATTACTGAAAAAGTACTGAACTTGTACTACTAGGCTTATATCCCAAAGGGACAGAAGAAAGAAGGAGAAGACTCTTATGTAAATATACGTGCATGAGTGTTCATGTCTGTATTCCTTACAATGCTTTTTTTGTTGTAGCAAAGAACTGGAAATGAAGAGGGCACCATTCAATTGGGTAATAGCTGAGCAAATTGTGGCATGTGAATGCTATGAGATATTACTGCACTGTAAGAAATAATGAAAGAGGTAGATTCAGAGAAACATAGGGAGACTTTTATGAACTGATTGAGTTTGAAGAGAGTAGAGCCCACATAATTTGTGTATCATAAAATTGCTGAAATAAATAAGAATTTTGGCCAATGAATTGACCAACCACAACTCTAGAGGACCAATGAGAAAATCATGCTAATTACTCTTTGAAAAAGGTAATAAATTATAATTGTGAACTAGGGAATCCATTTTCAGAAAAGAGTAATACATGGATTCTGCTTTGTGTGCTTATTCTTACTCATTAGGAGGAGTAGAGTTTTTGAGGGAATGGGAAGAGGGGAGCTAATTTTTTAAAGCACCTCATTGAAGTTCTTTAAAATGTGTGGAAGATAATAGGTTTAGTAAGAACTTTTAAAACGAACATGCTGAATTCAGTATATACTCAAAATAAACTGTGCATAATGAGATGAGAAGTTGCATATATAGTATATCTTTGTTGTTTGTATACTGAAATACTGATAATAGTTTGTCAAATTCAAAATAATAAATTCATAAAAATGATGAAAATAAAATCTTACCCTTGAGTGTATAAGAATCAACTTCACAATTACAATATGGGGTAGGTATGGCTAGATATCACTTGAGTGGAAAAGTTCTTAGGGTTTTAGTATATTGAAAGTTCAACATGAATTATGCCACATACATTTTTTATTCATCTATCTGCATATTTGTTGTCCCTGTGACCCTGCACTTGACCTCAAGAATTCATCCATTTGAAGTTAGTGTCCATTTCTTTTTTTTTCTTCTAGCAACCAGTCTGGCGATACTAGCTGATTAATACCTGCTCATCAAGCCAAATGATAAACAAAAAAGATGATAAAATATTTGGCCATAGTAAGAGAATCATCATATCTTAGATTAGGAGGGTCATAGTTTCATTGGATTCTACAATACTCTTAAAATTAAACAATACTCTTACCTAGAGGATGGGATTCAGTTCAATTTGCCCCATTTTAGGAAGGACATTGATCAACTGGAGAGTGGTCTGAGGACAACCAGAAGAGTGTAAGAGCTTGTATTCATAAGCATGAGAAATTCAGCTGAAGGCATTAGGGGATTTTATCCTAGAAAAGAGAGGATGTATTGGGAACCTGATAACTTTCTTCAAGTATTTGAAAAGTGTCACATTGGTGAAGAATTACACTTATTCTGCTTGACTCTGAAAGGATGTGATTTATGACAATTCAGGGAAGATGCAAGAAGGCAAATGTAGACAAGTGTAGAGGAGTTTCCTGACAATTATAACCATCCGAAAGTAAAATGAAGTGCCTTGCAAAATTATATTAGAAGTTATAGTTTCACTCTTTCTAGAGATCTTTAAGCTAAAAATTGATGTCCATTGGTTGGACACCTCATAGGCAAGATTCTTATACAGGTATGAATTGAACAAAATGGGCCTCTGTAGTTCTTTCCAATTCTGAGATGCTGTAATACATGCATACAGGGAGAAAGCAAGACAGTATTGCTTTCATATATAAAGTTATTTTTAAAGAAACATTTCTAAAAGTTCACACTCTTTAGGAGTGCTAGGCATCTAGAATGTCTAAGCCACTATTTATGCTTCAAAATCTGAGTTTGCTTCAGAAAACTTTTACTAATAGTAGAAAATAAGGACCTTAAAAGAAGCTCTACCACGCTAGTTTGTTTTTCATATCACATTTTTCCTGGATGCAAGAATGTGTTTTGCTATGTTAATTCTTTTGCAAGCTACATTTTTGGCATGGCTTTTTAGGTTCCTTGAAAAATATCTTTTATGAAACTAGAAGAATGCAGTCATTAGGAAAAAAAAGCTCTCTTCTACCTTTTTTTCATAAAGTATGCATAATATCAGTTAAAATGAGAGTATAAAATTCTTAGTGGCTGTATGGACTCATTACAATGTTTCCCAACTCAGATTTGCATGTTTATAGTTTCTGGTAAAGACTGCCAGGATTTATCATCAAAATCTAAGGTTTGATGTTGAAGACTCTTCCCAGTATACTTCAAGGATGCCATAGAATCTCAGCCCAGACATCCTTTGAGCCACCTTCTAGCAGCCTCCAAGTGGTACAACAAACATAAAAATTCAGGCATTGTGAATCAAAAAATATAATTCCCATTAATAGTAAAAAAAAAAGTCTCTTTTGGAATAGAATAAAACTAATTGTGAAAGAATGTTTTAGTTGACATTTTTCTTTTTCCTGAATGCTTCTAGCTATTTAATGTGTTTCTCAGTCTTTACGCATTTGTCAAGTTTATTTGAAGTCATTCCAATCCACTTGGACTGTATTATGAAAGTGGCTCTGGGAAATTTAGAGAGGGAGCACCCATTAGCATTAATGGGGCTCCTAAGGCAGACTTCCCGACGTCGGGCTCGGCTCGGTGTTAAACTCTTTCTGCAGTTATGGTTTTGGTGAATAGTTAAATAGATAATACTGAATCTTTTTCTTCAAAAACAAAGTTAAATTTTGTTTCTCAACCCTAGAATGTCAATTAGCTATATATAACCAAAAAGCGAAATTACTAGGCTTGAAGGAGAGATATTTCTTTTAAAATGAATAAATTCTTCCCAGATCGTTGGTTAGTATGTTGTTCTTACATCGCTCCTTCTTTTCCCAATGGGGTTTGTAGGTACAGCACTTGTCGTCCAGTGGGACCATGTACATCTCCAGGATAATTACAACCTAGGCAGTTTCACTTTCCAAGCTACCCTCCTCAATGATGGGCGGATCATTTTTGGATACAAAGAAGTAAGTGGAACAAAATGAATTCTTCTCTTTATTCCCCTTGCCAAATTTTATTTACACACACACACACACACACACACACACACACACACACACATTCATTTTAATTCTATGTTTCAGAACTTTTTTCCTGTCTTTCTGTTAGCTCTTTTTCTTTAAAGTCCATAAAATTGAATCATTCTTACACTACATACACACTATGTTTTTTTTTAAATTTCTTTCCTGTGTTATGCTGAAAAATGAAGTACTTGTTTTCAGTATGATGGCCATAGAATATACGATGTAGAAACCACCTATTAGCTCTTTGGTCATAACCCATGCATTTAACCAGGCCTTAGTGATTAGATTCTGGCTGTCAATATTTCATTTGTTTCCTGTAAAAGAAAAAGGTTTACTGACCTGGGCTTGTCCAGGTCAATTGAAATGGCCAATTGAAACGAAATGCCTTTCTTTGTCTTCTTGTTTTTTGTTACCAAAAGGTCAATTTTTGGTGCTAGGGATTCTTGTGAAATCCCATGTTTCCAAGTACAAAAGAAAACAGGAAAAAATAGCCTTAGGCTTCATAGTAACCATGAGTATAAATCTTCATAACAATGTTAATTGGAGATTTAGGTTGAACTAATTAAACTTAAGGGAGAAAATTTAATATTAATATGTGCATATATAGATGTCTCTCTGTTAGGAGAAGGTAATAAAAGAGATGATATGTTATGTTGGGAAACAAGATACTGGCCATCATGGGTTTCATCCTTCACAGCAACATCTGGGACTTGATTTATTGATCAAACAAATAACTACAGAATTAATTAACTATCTCTTATCATAGACCAATAAAAATGACCCTGAACCTAAAATCAAAAGATTTCAGTTTGAATACTGGCTCCTCTTTTTATTAGCTGTGTGACCTAGAAGCATTCACTTAAGATTTCTGCAACTCAATTTCCTTATATGAAAAACAGCACTAGTATTACATGCATTACCTGTGGCACATGGTTCTTGTGAGGGTTGAAACAATAACATACAGTGTATGAAAGTTTTATGTAAACATAAAGTATTAAATAATATAATTTTAAGCTAGTATATGTACATATTAGGTACACACACACACATATATATACACATACATATACACGTGTGCATACATATGCCAGTTAAACACATGCATATATGTATGTTTGTATATATGTATATATTCATACACATATATACATGAATATATATGTATATGTGCATTGTATGAATACATAGTATATATACATAGATCTATATGCATAAATCCATCCATATATGTCCATATATATATCCATATGTATATAGACAGATAGATGGATATTGATATAGATAGATAAATATGCGACAAAAGATATAGAGTGTAAAAATCAGTCTTTGCAATAAGTTAAAGCCTTGACATTATGAAACTTTCAGATTGGAATACATAATGATCTATTGGCAGTTTGAGATGCGATGAATGAGCTCCATTAGGAATTGTAGCTAATCATAACAGCAGATTAAATTCCAGGACCATAAAACTCAGAAGGAGTAATGTACTGACATAGAATAATCATAATCATCCTATAGTAGTCACTGTTTTCCAAAAAGTTTCTTTGCCAAAAATTTTCAACTCAATTTACCGAAGAATCATTTACACTCTATGGAACTCCTCTAGTTTCATGATGGAAAGAGTCATGCTAGGTGGGAGAGAAAACTTAGACCAATAGTTGGAAATTGCAGGCATGTAAATTTGAGCTCAACATAAGGAAACACTTCCTCGCAAGTGAAAACTATCCAAAATAGAATGCTATACCTGAGCTGAGAGGAAGTTCCATGTCACTTGGATTCCTTAAGTGGTCACTGATTGCTTTTTGTGGATGCTGTAAGTGGGATTCATGACTTTTGTCCCTATTCTGATATTCTATACTATTAGTCACTGAGAAAATAAAGTTTAATTTCAAACCAACTTTTCTAGACTGGTAAAAGTCTAGAAAAGACTTTTCTAGTTGATAAAAAAGGGAAATATATTTAAAATTGAAAATGATCACTTTTGGGGAGATTCATAATTTGTAGAAACAATCTCCTCTACTTTGAAAATGTCAGATGTAGGACTGTGTGATTTCCACAGGAAAATCCATTGTGTAACTTTTAAATATATGTGGTGCATTACTTGTCCAACAAATAGGGGATGGTACGATAGGAAAAAAAAAAAACAAACAACAACACTTGTTCTCCTAGTCGAGGAGACCTGAGTTCAAATCTCATTGTGGAATTTTACTAGCTATGTGGCCTTAGGAAAGCTACTTCTCTGTGTCTCAGATTTCTTATCTGTAAAGTAGGGGGTTAAACATGATGATGTTTGAGGTTCTTTCCAGCTCTAAGTATTTGATCCTGTAATCCTTTATTATATAGAGGGGTATAACTTCCAGCTCATCTTCATCTAAAACTATAATTAGCCCAAGGATTATCATAGTTAGCTAAGTGGCACAGTGGATACCAGAGTCAAGAAGATTTTTGTTCAAATCTGGCCTTGGATAATAATGGCTGTATAACCCCGGGCAAGTCACTTAACCTCTGCTTGCCTCAGTTACCTCAAATGTAAAATGGGGATAATAACAGAACCCACCTGGAAGGTACAAGGAACACATGAGATAATCTTTGCCAAATGCTTAACACAATGCCTCGCACATAGTAGGTGTTTAAGTAATGCTTATTCCTTACCCTCATTCCCTTCTCCATTTGGGAAAAGAGGAAGCATGAAATTATGGAAAGAGTATCTGCTTTGGAGTCAAGAAAACATAGGACAAATCCTGCTTCTTACTTACACTATCTGTGTGACCATAGACAACTTACCTGACCTTTTCAGTGCCCCAGTCAGCTAAGACTGGAAGTTACAAATATGTTGCTGATCTGAGTGGTGGGTAATCTGTGTTTTCAAGGCCACATGTAGCCTTCTAGGTCCTCGGGTGTAGCTTTTTGACTGAGTCCAAGTTTTACAGAATAAATCCTTTTATTAAAGGGATTTGTGCTACGAAGTTTGGACTCAGTCAAAGCACAGCACTTGAGGACCTAGAGGGCCACATGTGTCCTCGAGGCCACAGGTCCCCCATCCCAGCAGCAGTTTTAACAATAGGAGTTCCTTATACTGATAAAAACGGCAACTCCTGCAAAAAAGAAAAATCTAGGATATAAATGGAATATGAGCAAAATGAATCCATCCATTGCTTGCTTTTGAAAACAATCTAGTATGTTTCATACAGAGATTAAAGACTGGCGATGATAGTTTTGGAATGAATACTATTATTTTTTCTTCAGTTTTTAGCTACAGTGGTAAGACTCTTGACATCTAAATCCAGGGTCAAGATGGTCTGCAGTTTTGAAATATACTAACTTCAAGCTTTTTCAAAATGTAGTTTCACATAGTAACTATGGCCTTCCTCTGATTTCTGTTATCAAATTGCTGTCATCTTTATTTACTCTGTTCCCAATAAGTTTCTCCCATGGCAGATTAATAGTTTAGTATTTCTGTTTTCCCTTTGTTGTGGGTTTGGCATTTTCCAAGTAAAATACTAGTCTGCTTTTATCAAAAGCAATTTTCCACTGTGGTTTTCCTGTGTTTTGTCACATGGTATTAAGTGGATGTGCAGAAAGGATATTTTCTTGATTTTTTTTTTCGTCTCTCTTGTCTTGCTGTATATCTCCCCTTTGCACTTAAAGTCCCTACGGAAGTAATCTCATTGTCTTTCATCTCATATGCCTTAACTCACTTTGAACAAGAAAATCATTTCATCTTAAGTTGATCTATGTGTTATTACTGGGGGTTAATGATTTCCTTCTATTTGAAAATTCTACAGAGATGTTTTTTGGGGGAGAAGTCAAGGTTATATCTGGAACTATAGCTACTGGGGGAGTTTCATTATGCTGCTCTTGATCTGGCAAGTAAAGACGTGTGGTACCAAGATAAAGATAATATTAAAGTATTCTCTACTTTGTGCTTTAATATCAGATTGAATTATTACAACAAAGTTGGTTATTTGGGGACAGAATATATTCATGAAAAAAGTTATAAAAGACTAACAGTATTTCATTTTTTTTGACCAACATATTACACACTGCTAATTACTACACAACAGCATTGCCCAAGATATTATACCTGGATTTAGGCAAAAATTTTGATGAAGTCTTTTATTATGATCTATGGAAACGATAAAGAGGGGTGAGCTGGAGAATATGATGGTTAGGCGTAACTGGCTCCTGTAGAAGCTCTGTAACCTTAGTTATTATTCTGACTAAGCAACTGTATTAAATAAACCATACATGCAATTATCATGGCTAATATGCTTGCTGGAGCCCTATTTGAATCAGGACTTGTTGTTATTTCTCTCCTTACCCATCTATCAATCCCCTCAAATAAGTGAGGGAAATACTCGAACAACTTTGCCTATATCTGTTTTCATTTCCCCCCCAAATAATAGAATGTTGAAAATCAATATGAAGTCCACTAGCATTAAAAAAATAACTCGAATGAATAGAGGCCAAAAGTAGTGATGTTTAACTTGGAGGAATTCCTTCAGTGGTATGCCATAGATCCCTGTGCTTTGTGTACTTTATCCAACATGTCTCTCAGTGACTTTGATAAAGATAGATATGAACTTGCTTATCAAATTTGTGGATTCAACAAACTTTAAGATTCTTTGCTGTGTAGAGCATTGTACTAGGCCTTTGCAACCCTAAAAATTAGTTAATCTGGCCCCTGATTTCATGAAGCTTACAGTCTTGCCGAGGAAAGATACCCAGGCACCAATAAATCTGATAAAGTGAATGAAAAACAAAATATTTTGTTAGGTCTTAGGGTAAAGATTTTTATTGAGAGAGGAGGATAAATGGAAGGCTTTTTGAATTATGTACTTCTTTAGTCTGGATTTAAAGGATATGAGCAGAGAATACAAAATCTTACTTTGCTTACTGTTGACTTTAAAAGAGTTTTTGATTTGGTAGAGCAGAATATAATA